TTTCATTTATGATGAGCAAAAATTCAATGCTGCCCCTATCCCCAGTGACGCAGGACAGCACAGAAGGCCATCTCAACGGTCTTCCAAGAAACACTTTGGTGTCACCAATGCAGCAAGCTCTGCTGTCATCAGCAAGATGAGAGGCTGGCCCCATTTCTTTCAAGTAGGCATCAAACCTACCCAGGTCCTGTTTCAAGGAGTCCGAGCATATCCCCAGATCGGGGCCACAAATTCCACGGTGTCAGAAAAGGCTTGCCTCTTGACCCATGCCTCTCTTACTTTTCACAGGGCAGACCCCCTCTAGAGCCCACTAGACAGGGTGGTTCCTGAAGAGCCTGGTTTTCGCCCAGGCAGATTGGGAATCCTGGGAGTCTCTACCTGGCTTGGTAGAGACCAGACCTGAGCCTTCCTTTGTGCGGTTATAAGATAGTTGCTGCACAGGTTGGACTAGAGGCCATTGGGGTTGTTGAAAAAAGCCCTGGAAGTGCGTGAGCAGCGTAAGTTGAAGAGTTAGGATCCAGAAGAGGTTGGAATGTTCTCCAGAAGGCCACTGCCTGCTGAAATGGAGAGACAAACAAAGACTCCTGGCCCAACCATATCCATCCTATTGGCTTAACTGAGAACTTGTGGGCCCTGCCTTACGATGCAGGCTGTCCAGGGTCTTTCTGAAACAGGGACTTCTCTGCTGGAAGTGTCCTCAAAGCAGAATGCTCTCTGGTCCATAAAATTAAGGTGGAGCTTACAGTCCAAATATTAATGAGAGAAGCTGAGGCACCGAGAATCAGTGTGGAAGGGTGAAGTGGAAAGGAGGTGTTGGGTTGTGGCTCAAATACAGGCTCACTATAATAGATGGTTTTTATTTTGTGGCAGGAGTTTGGCATGACTCCCTCCTCCCAGGAAGAGGGTATTAAATCAAAACCCCAAATCCTGCCCCTTTGCAAGCGAGTCCCACACAAATGACTGAGTCCAGGTGGACCTCTCCTCTTCTGACCAGCACTTGCCACTCGACCTTCCTCCCAGCCAGCCCCCACGGTGTCTCTCGTTGAGGGAAGGGTTAGGGGGAGGCCCTGGGGGCTTCTCTTCGGCCTAGTGGGGCTTACGTGGGTGTCCCTTTCTCTTGTGAAGGGCAGGCTGACAGACGGGAAGGGAAAGACCATCGACTGCAAAGATGCCATCTTCATCATGACATCTAATGTGGCCAGTGACGAGATTGCCCAGCACGCTTTGCAGCTGAGGGAAGAGACCATGGAGCTGAGTCGGAAGAGGATTGCTGAAAAGCTGGGTACCTGATCCTTCCCTGCAGACCTCCTTGCTCTGCCCAGACCCCAGGGTGCCTGGAGACTTCATGGGGTCCTTTGGGGACAGCCTCTGAGACCGCTCCTCTCCCTCTTCTTTGTCTCCTGAGATAGACTGCTCTCGGCTGGACTGCTTCCATTTCATTACTAAGCTTTTGCTTACAGGTGACACCCACAACGTCTTTCCACACACAGAATTAGTGGCACCCAAGGCTAGCAATTGTGGGGTTTGTGCTAGCGGTTTGTGACAAAGTGCGCCAAAGCTCGTTCCCTTCACAGGGTTACTGTCTAGCTAAAAGAGTACATAATAAGCCAATCTGGCACGGAGCAACATCTCATCTATAGAGCGCGCGCGCGTGCACCGGCAAAGGCAAGCAGGATCAGCGAGAGCGAAGTGTGACCAAAGTGGAACATAAATATGCTTTAATTATCATTCAACTTAGATGCTGATCAGATCAGATAAGTTGGGGGGGTGGGGAGTATGTGCTCTGGCCTGCTGCTCCAAGGCCTAGTTGTAGAACTGTGGAGTTGGGAGGGACCCCGAGGATGCTCAAGTCCAGCCCTCTGCGTGTGCAGGGAAACCAACCATCCATGAGAGGCATCTGTCCAGCCTCTTCTCCCAGACTGCCAGGATGTAGAACCTGCCCCCTTGGCTCTCAGCCCAGAAAGTGTTGGGCATCTCTGCTCGGTCTTCATGAGAGCCCTTTTAGCTGCCCACGCCGTGTTGGTTGAAGTGCAGCTGCCTGAATGTATCCCAACCGCTTACTCCTCTGGGTTAGCTAAAAATAGACTTTGCCTCCCCAAGGTTTTGCTGTAGTGCAGCTCCTCCTGCCCCCCTCACCCAGGGTGGCCCTTGGCCGCTCTTCTCGGGCAGTGGAGGGGTTTCCCAGCCCTGATAAAGGAGCGCGTTGGGAGTGCTGTCACGGAAGGCAGCCAGCCAGCCAGCCTTTCTTTTCCAGAAGGCAGAGTGGGAAGGGCTCCCTGTGTGTTTCTTAAGCACAACTGTGTTTTGGGTACCCCCTGAGTTTGAGGCTGCTTTGTCTTTCAGATGATGTCCAGGTGACAGACAAGATAACCATCTCCAAGCAGTTCAAGGAGAACGTGATTCGCCCCATCCTGAAGGTACAGATGGTGCTGTTTACAGCCCTCGGCCTAACTTGGGGCTGTCTGGAGTTTCAGAAATGGGAGCTGGGTGTTTGTTTTCTTTCACCCTCTGCTTGAACATATCCTCCAGCTGGATCCAGAGGCCTTGTCGCAGTTGGTCCGCACGTTTGCCTCCAGAGCACACGTGGTGGCCCTTTCCCAGCCGCCCCGAATCCCCGGTTGTACCCTTCACTCAGGCTGGTGTGCTTGCTCACCTGCTAGGTTAGCGACCCTCGGAAGGTCACACTCTCCCCAGCCAGGAAAGCTGCTCCCACCCCTCCAGCAGAAATCTCAGGAGCCCCTGAGCTTCACAAGGGCCCCTTGTCGATCTAATAAATAACAGGGCAGTACTTTGGTGCACCTCACGATCTGATTTTATCCCCCTCAAAATGTGTCATTTTGAGAAGGTGCAGCGGACAGCTCTGGGCCAGCCCACCCCACGGCTCTGTGCTTCGCTTCCCCACAGGCTCACTTTCGAAGAGATGAGTTCCTCGGGAGGATCAATGAAATTGTCTACTTCCTCCCCTTCTGTCAGTCGGAGCTGATCCAGCTGGTCAACAAGGAGCTGAGTTTCTGGGCCAAGCGGGTAAGAACTGCCAGCGTCTCCCCTAGTCAGCTTCCCTTTTTTCCTGTTTCTGTGCTCTTCCTCATAAAGTGCCGAAAAACGTTTCCTAAGGAAACAGGAGCAAGATAGAAACACACAGGTACAGCCGTATTGAAAAGTGGCAAGGGCAAAGAAATGTAATAAGGAAATTTAGTTTAAAATTCAGTCAGAGAAGGCAAATACTACCCAAGTCTTCCTTCATAATGAAGGTTCCTCTCTCCAGGTTCCTAAAATGTCCCGAGACAAACCTTGTCAGTCCTGAGGCCTTACCTGTCATTCCAAGGTAAAACGCAAACGAGCTGCCAGCTCTTGCCATTGGAAAAAGTAACCAGGCTGCAAAAGCGGGTCTGCCCCACTCCCTTCTTGGCTCTCGGGGTTCTGGTTACCTTTTCTGATCACGGATGACTCTGGCCCTCTACAGACACGAGGCATCAGCTGGGCGTGCGGAAGGTCCCTTTCAAGCTCCCACAGTTCTCCTTAAAGCTTGGGAAGGAGGCCTGTGAGCAGGTCGGGCTGGGCCAGCTCCAGCCGCCGTTCAGGTTGGTCCCAGCTGCAGCCTCGCCATAGATAAGTTGCAGAGCAAGCTTTAGAAAAAGCAAATTCAGCAGACTAAGGAACTCTGTACCAAGCAGATCTAAGAGTCCTGAATGAATGAGACATTGCAGAGATTTGGTAAAGCTTCCAGGAGGAAACTTTCTCCATTTTGGTGTGGAAAAAGAAAATATAGCAAAGCAGCCAAGCAGAATATTTCTGCGACCTGATGGGTTTTGCACATCTGTACAAAGAAAAGACCACGTTAACAGCTTCAGATTGCCTCCAGCTTTCCAGCACTGTTTAAATTGTAAAGGCCAGGGATCTCAGAAGTCAAGAAGAGAAAAGCATAGGAAACGTCGTTTTGAGGGAGGGCACTGGGTAGGTGAGCATCTTCCCCTTTTCAACGCCCAGTTCTGTCTACTCAGATAAAAGTTTTGTCTCACAGGGTGGGGATGGCTGGACTGCTCCTCTATGTCCCTCCCCCTCAAAATGTGGCCGAAGTGTGTCTTATCCAGGAGATTTGGTGAGGAGAATCTTCTCACGGAGAGAGCAGCGCCCGTCTTTCACCTAGGATTACGAGGGAGGAGGATCTCGGGGAGTGTGAAAACTGCCAATTCAGAAGGCAGACTTGGCAGATTCAGTAACTGCTGCTCCTTCCTCCCCCTGCAGGCCAAGGCGAGGCACAACATCACTCTGGTGTGGGACAGGGAGGTGATGGACGTGCTGGCCGACGGCTACAACCTGCACTACGGGGCCCGTTCCATTAAGCATGAGGTGAGCTGGGGCGGGCCTCACTTCCTTTTCATGCGCCAGTGGAGCTAGGAGGCAGCGGAGCCCCCTGTCCCTTCTTCCTTTTTTTTTCATTGAGCTCATTGCCCACTTTTCCCCAGAGTTTTCGTGTCAGTTGCAGTTAGTTAAGAAGCAAAAGAACCCTTCTTTCAAATTAATCTGCATTGAAACCCAAGGACATTCTGCCAGTGTCCTACCGGTCTGGGTTCTACTGCACCCCAGACATAAATTAGTCCCCCCTCCCATAGGATTCTGAATAGAAACTGCAGCTCAAGGTCCCTTTTGCTTGGGTTTTCTTCTGAAATCCAAGATTTTGGGTCCTGCTGGCTGCCGTTCCTTTAGAAAACGCAGCCCCTGCCAATCTTTGGCACCCGAAGTTATAGCCTGGAGTGCCTGATTTTCCTCTTGACGGCCAGGTCGAGCGTCGGGTGGTGAACCAGCTTGCTGCGGCCTATGAGCAGGACCTTCTACCCCACGGGTGCACCTTGAGGATCACGGTGGACGACTCAGACAAGCAGCTGTTAAAGGCCAAGGACACCTCCCTGTCCATGGAGGGCCAGCGGAAGGGGCCGACGCTGCGGCTGGAAATACTGGAGGACAGCAAAAGCCGGAAACTGGACATCCAAGCCCCCCTGATACCTGACGAAGCCTCCTACCCCTCATAGGACAGGGGTGGCCCTTAGCCATCCTCTCGCTGAGCCCTTGGCGCCCGAGGGCAGGACCACAACAAGCAGTTGGTAATAAAGCAATCATGAGACATAGAAGCCCAGTGGGAATGCGGTTTTCTCTGGAGGGAGGCCCGGAGGGCAGTTATTCTGTAGCTCTAGCACCCTCCAGATACTGCCTGGGTGTATGGGAGTTGTAGTCCAGAGCATCTGGAGGGGGTCAGAGGGAGGAAAGTCACCTTAGTTTGTCACAGGAAGCGGGTTGCCGAACTGGGTGATTCCACAGAGAATACATGGGAAGACTCAATTCCATGTATGTGTCATGGCTCAGGTGGTGGGGTAATTCCTTGCCCCATCATCCGAGCAGCCTGGCTCGGTTGAGTGTGTATTCTTTGCTCCAGAAGGACCTCCACCTGATGCTTTTCTCCATTATGAATAGAAGGGTGGCAGGAGGGGAGTTGTTTCCAGCCACAACGGCAGTAGAGAGAGGTTTAAATTATTGTAATAAATGCAACGTGCACCTCAAGTGATGTCTGTCTGCCTGTTCCTCTTGGTCCAGCAAGATCTCAAATGAAAGGGTAGCTTTTGAGCAATGCTTTCTGGTCCTGTGACACGCTCCTCTTCTGGAAATCCCCAAGCCTGGGATGTGGAGTGGCTCGTCAGTTGATTTCACTTTCAAGAAACACCCCTGAGTATTCTGCCTTCCTGGAGCAAGAGAAGAAACCCAAAGCTGTGAAAAGGAGGAGAAGGAAATCCTGCTCAGGGACTGATGTAGCAGAGGATTTGGCTGCTGACCTGAGGAACGTAGTGGAGCTGCTTGTTCCCCCTTGCTGAAGCCCCCAGACCTGTGCAAAGACGCCCAGAAATGGCATTTCTTCTGGGAGGCGATGAGGCGCCAGCTCAAGCCTCCTCGTGTTGGCACAAGAAATGTCTGGTGCAAGTGTGCTTGGAGGGGGATTGATCGATTGGTCACCAGCCAGGGTAGCTAACTCTGATCAGCTTGTGCAGCTTCTGCCCATTGATTGAGCTTACCTGGAGGTTTGGCTCCTAATCCAATTAGAGACACAGGATTGAGGACAAGCAGAAAGCGGAATATGAATACCTAGAGGAGGAGGATTTATCAGTTTCAACTCTTTTGTGGCATATGCAGTTTTTCTTTATGGGCAGGAGCAACAGTAGCTTGTGGGGCTGAGAATCGGCCTTGGCCAGCTCAGTGGAGGGCCCACAGATTGGTCAGCCTTGTCAAGGGTTGGTGCCTGGCAGAAGAAAGTTACAGGAGAAGAGAGGGGCTGCTGCTGGCGAGCTCTGCCAAGCACTCTGCCCGGCTTTCCCAGGTGAGCTCTGTGAACACGTCCACTTCCACCCAGGTTGGAAAAATCCTCATGGTGGGGCCTTGCTACCTCTTCTCTGCACCCCATTCTTCCCTTTGGGGTATTGGAAACAAGTGCAACGTTGCAGGCACCGGGACACGCTCCTTGGAGTAGCTCAGGGGAGGGTATTTGGCCTTGGCAGTGACCCTGTAGCATACTGGGAGAAGTGCTGGGGATCTCACCCATCCCCACAGCTCAGCTTTTCCTGTTTGCCCCATGCAATTGCAGCCCCATTGCCTCTTCCGGGTGGCTCGTGGGGCAAAAACAGGAGCTGGTGGAGTTTCAGAGTTTTTCTCCTGTAGCATCAGCTATTCCTTTGTGCAGAATTTGCAGCCTTGTTCCCCAGCTTGGGGAACTAACAGCTAGCAGGGGTTGACAGGGTTTAGTGCAGTATGTCTAGAGAGCAGCCGGCTGAAGGAGAGTTTGAGGCATCTGCGTGAATCCTTCCTGGAAGTTTTGCATTCCTGTCGCTATACAGATGTTGTGCCCTGCGGTGAAATCTCCAGATCCTCAAAGAAAGCATTTATACCCAAGCCACAAGACTCCTGGCCTTACCAGGGTCCACCATGTCTCATCCGAATCTTCCCCAAAGGAGGTCCAAACCGGTACTGATAAAAGAGCATCTTCCCCACATCGCAGGTGGGTTCCAGGTACACGAGACACGCTAAGAAGAGCTGAGAGCAGAAGGTCTTTGCAGGAGCAAGAGCTGCTGCCGTTCTTCATGCAACCCGGTCAGAACTCGAGTTCCCTGCTGCTTCACCTGGGGTAGAAAAGGAGTATTTGTTACAAGGAGCTCAAAATGGCACAACGTCCTCCCCCTCGTTATCCTCGCAATAATCCTGCAAGGCCGTTTGGACCAAAAGGGGGGCACCCAGAGTGAGGATCTGAATGTGAGTCTCTCCAGCCCAAGGTTTTTGCTTTGTGTTTTCGCGGGAGGAAAGGGCTTTCTTTTCTAGAGAGTTTTCTCTCTAGGAAGGTAGTGGGGCAATTCTCTGTCCACCTGGGAGATGCAGGGGTAATGCGGGGCCTGTTTCTGCGGGAGACCCGCCAGATGCCCTGAGGGAAGGGCACAAGCTGGGTGCGGGGCTCCCATTCCCTGGCCTCAGAAGCATCCGGGTAGCCCTCGTGCTGTGAGCAAGAAAGAGGCAGTTTCTCCCTGAAACGCAGCCCCATGTCTGTTCTGCCTCCTCTGGAAATGTCTTCTGGGCCCAAGGACAGGTAGTATCCCAGCTGCAAGTAGCTGGAAAGGGGCGGAACACCGACTGTGCTGAACGGGGGAGAGCTGGCTAAAAACTCCTGCAGGCCTTCAGAGTGATGGGGCTGCTGGGAATCCGTCCAAGATGGTGGGGAACAAGTAAGCAAATGCCTTGATCTCAACCTGCCCCTCTCCCTCCTTTGCATCTGAAGAATGTTCGAGGCAGCTGGCAATCACTGTGCAGCGAGAAAAGGGTTAAAGGAGGGGAGGGGAGGGGATCAAATACCAGCACAAATCAACCAGAGAAATGAAACACTTGCCAGAATAAATAAGCCTTAAGAAGCCCATGAAATGTCAGCCGTGAGCCAGCCCAGAGCCTGGACACGGTCAGAGCCTGAGGATGGAGGAGTGGAGAGATGAGCAGCTACTCGGGGTAAGTTGGTGGAGAGTGGCCGTGTTCCTCCAAGATGGAAGAGCTGGGGCCACGTCTCAGGATAACCCTTGCGGGCCAAAGGGAAGCAGCAGAGCAAGTGCCAGGGAGGTGCCCCAAAGCCCACTGGCCACCCAGGGCTCTGCTTTGAGGAGCTTCGGCGTTCTTCACTTTTGTCCTGGCCTAAAGCAGATCTGCCCCACGGTCCTTTACGCCACCAACCCTTCCCACTGGCACCTTCTTGGAAGAAGGGCCTGGTCCATGAGCAAAAGCAGTCTCTTCGAGGCCTTCCTTGGGCGCCCTTCCCAATCTAAGGCAGGGGAAGTGATGATGAAGGACATGGGCCTCTCTGAGGGCCCCAGAGGCACGGAGCTCCTCTGCAGAGCAGTCCCACTCACTCCTTCCTTGCTGCACTCGTGAGTTGCCACAGTTCTTCTTTCGCCCCCTTCTGCTCTTCTGGTTAACTGTTCAGTGCCTGGTGCGAACCTAGAAGATGCACGTTGGGGAAGACCGCTGTCTTCTGGAGAGGCAAAGGATGGAAGAAGGGACAAGAAGATGTCCTCCATGAGCCACTTTAAGATAATGTACCCTAGAGATGGTACGTTTTGATGCGATTAAGTATATCATTAGCCGTCTTGGAGACTCTCTTCTCAAAGGCTTAATTTGCACAATAAGCTGGAGATCTGAGCCTGCCGTTGTGTAAGCAGAAAGCTTTTTGCCGTTCCAAGTCAGCCCACTTGGTTAGTTGATGGTTCGGCGTATTGTGTGAATCTGGAAGAAGAGTGAATTCGGTAACGAGATTAAACGTGTTGTGCAAAGGGGGTCGTCGTGTTTAGTGAAATGTATTTTGTTTGTTGACACTTCTTCAGCCGTAGATCTCAGGATGCTTACCAGTGTTGGGAGAGTCGAGTATGCACGTGCTCTTTATGGCCTGTGGTTCTGTCCCACGAGCAGAGGGCATCGCTGCCCGCTTCTCCTTCTGAACAGACATAGCCTTTGACTCGCCAGTTGCTGCCTTGGTGCACGTGTGCCAAGGAGAGAACAGCCACCCAGCCAGTCTAGCATCCAGGCTGTCCTTGAGCAAATTGTATTTCCATTACATGGAAACGTTCAAGTCTTGCCCAGAGACCTGGCAAACGTCAAGCAATGGTATAAACATCTCCTGAGAATGAGCAAGCCTGGGGCAAGCTGGTCCTTGAGCTGGAAAGTCAGTGCCCTCCTTCACATGTTAATCCTCACGGGACAGAAAGCGCTTGCAGAAGGAACTTCACACCAAGCCACACCGCATGGTCTGGCCGACCTGTGTTTCCCACTCTGGCCCCTTGGCCTGGGCTGAAACCAAACCCATCTCAGCTACCCCAACCCCCTGAGTGGGGAAGACCATGGTGGCTTCTTCCGTCTGGGAAACCTGCGGCCCGGGAACTTCTGGGTAATCCATGGAGCCCGGCTGGGAAGCAGCCCGTGGGCGCCTTTTTCCACAAGGAGGGAGGCAGTGGTGCAGCCCACGCACCGATTTGTTGGATTGGTTTTCCATCGTGTGTCCGTGGGGTAGCAAAACTGGTGACGGCATGCCTCGAAGCAAACTGGCAAGGGTGAAAGGGCTCCCTCTGACAGATCAAATAAATGTGCCATTGCAGCCGAACCAAGAAACAATAAAAACCAGGCAGAGGCTGGAGGAGAGAAACAGCAGCCTGTGACGGCAGAAATTCAATTACCGGCAGCCTTCAGCCCCATGCCGGGACAGTAATTCAATTAGGGCCAAGCAGGTTCCCACTAGCAGAAGGGGCTGCTGAGCAGAGGGGCTGGGCAGCCCCTTGGCGGGCCGCTTCAGCTGCGTGCTGAACAAACAATGCTACCGAGGGGGCAGGGGCCGGGAGAGACCAGCGAGGGCTGGGGGATCTGTGGGTCCCTCCGCCAGTACTGGAGCCGCAGCCCCCACGGCCTTGGGCCTATCCTGTCCCAAAGATAGGAAGCCGAAGGCCACTGGAGAGCAGCCGAGGAGCATCTGGCTTGGTCTGCCGGGCCTTGTCCTGCCGCGGTTCCTCCAGTCCTCTGAGCCCTTTTCCAAACCTTTAAAGGGGGTGGCCGTCATCGCCACATCCCGGGCAGTGGAATGCCAAAGCCTTGCGGTTGTGCCTCCTGGACAAACAGGCTCATTTGATGTTTTCTGTCCTGAACGTCTGGCCAATAAAGTGCCTTGGGTTCCCCAAGCTTTAGCCTTCCAGCGCGTTCATTCCTCTTGTTTCACCCAGCTATCCAAGGACAGGTAGTGATCAGGCTAAACCAAAAAAGGTCTCCCATAAAGCCAGTCACTCATGGGAAACCAAGCCACAGATTGCGCCACGTGGCAGAGAAGACCTGTTTTGACCCTGTCCTCCCGGCCCCCCTCCCATTAACGGACACCAGATAAGGAGATGCGTTTCCAACAGAAGAGAAGATCTGTAGCTCGTGGTTGAGCTGTGGAGTCCTTATGAACCGGGAGCAAACCCTGCCCTAGGTGGGCCACGAGACGTCTGCAAGCAAGCACCCCA